GTTAGGGATAGGAGGATAAATAGACTAGGAAAGATAAACCTTTCATTTATTTCCAATCTCTTCCTAGTGTATCAAAAATATAAACATGAACTACTATAACTTCACTTATAACCAGGGGGTGAGGGCTTTTTAACTGGAAGGATGTTTGCATGAAGCAAGTTACAACCAGGATATTTTTGTTTATATAAATTCCCTTCTTGGTTTCTAAGACCAGAATCATTATGAAATTAAAGTTTTGTAAAAGMTTGTTCACAGTGTACATGAAAACATGGATTAATGTTACTTATTTTGCTATGTTGGTCTTTGCTTGTGAAATGCAATTATTCTTGTGTACACATCTCTGAAATAAAAATCAGATTGTGAAATATTAACATTCATTGAGATGTATCTTAACACAAATAACTTTCATTTCATTTTTTTCTAGGTTAACGCATGCCATGGTATGGAATGAAGGTAATGCAATTTTTTAAAAATGTCTTCTGTAGTTCCAGAAAATTTCCACACCCCACCATGGAGGGAATTTTAAAAAGGTTCCCTAACCCCTCTACAATTTCCAATTTTGTTCCATACCGACCTTGTAAATTTGTTTTATCCCTGGACCCCCAAACCCCTGGGAATTTCTCATTTTTTCCATGCTGGGGTATGGATGTTTTTTGGAAACCACAAATTGAAAAATAAAGGTCCTGACATTASAATATTTCATATAATAATGATGTCTGTGTGAGCAGACATTGCAGCCCTGAACAAGGGAATATATCTTAAGCAGGGGCACTGAACCCAAAATTTGACTTTTTTTCTCACAATGGCAAAGTCTTCTTATTACAGCTAACACTTCTCAAGCTTATCCCTTAGGTTCCATTAATGGATTCTTTATTCAAATGCTGAACATTTTTATCTTTTTTGATAATACCATTCATAATAACAATAAAATCAAAACTTGAATTCTGATTGCATTATGGCATTCCTTATATGGAATATTGCAATCAGAATGTGAGTTAAGAATTGGTTATTATTTTGAATCTTGAGGCTTTGTATTCCAAGAAAGAATAATAAATTACAGTATTTTAATAATGAAACCATTCATGGAACCTACACGTAGGGCAGTAAGCTGTGTCGTTTTGACTGTAACAAATACACAATATAATTCTTTGATAAATACAAGCATTATGTAAAACTTTTACAGTCAAACCAGCTCATGCATTCTTATCAAGGTTCAAAGATTCATTTTATTATTGGAAGTTTGATTTTCATCCTGCTCTCAAGCTTGCTTTAATAAAACTAACATAAATTTCAATCCTATTGAGGTCTTTGCCTCAAAAAATCAAAATGTTCATTTGTTACAGGACTAGTTTTTCAACAAAACAATACACCACACAAATAACTTGTGTAAATCAAGCCTACAACTCATCTACGACAGACGTGAGCTTGTTGTATACGATAGTTGTAGGCAAAATTCATACCATCTTAACCTGGCCTTTAGGTGGGTTTATGGGCCTGATAGGATATATATTTGTATTAGGATATATATTAAGCATGGGTGGCCTAGTAGTGAGAGTGCTTGCCTCTCACGAAATGCAACCTGGGTTTGCGTCCCTATGAGCTTGGTGTCGTATGTGAGTTGAGTTCTTTCCCATGCTTCGAGGGTTTTTCAGGTTCTCTTGTTTTCCTCCCTCTGCAAAAACTAACTACTAAATTCTTTTTCGATCCTAGGAGATAATCATGATAGGGCTAACCTCAATATCTCCTTTCGCACTCACTGGTGCAAATAATTTTTTTAAAATGAAATATATTTTGTACTTCAGTTGTAATGTATCAAATTGAGCTGATCCTTGCAATATATCAAGCAACTTATGCAGCTACAAATGGAAAGGCTCAGAAAAAATTCTCCGTCTTGAATAGGATTTTATCCCATGCCCTGGCATGTGCCCTTCAGCTGCATAAAAAAGTAGCTATACAATACTCCATTTTAGAGTTTCATTCAGTGACCATGAATAATAGTTCCTAGCCGAGACTGGAGTTACTGCGCATGATAAACTGTAGTTTTCCTATGCGTGGAAATTCCAGCCTCAGCTAAAAACTATTATTTGTAACAGTAATGATGAAAAGGTAAATTATACACCGTGAAAAGATGAAAAAACTTACTGACGTTTCGGACGCTAGTCCTTCGTCCTAGTCCTCCGACGAAGGACTACTGTCCGAAATGTCAGTAAGTTTTTTCATCTTTTCACGGTGTATAATTTACCTTTTCATCATTACTGTTTCATTAGAAACACTGACGCAGCTCACACTAGTTTTTAGCTAGTTATATCTTTTCTAACTATTATTTGTGGTCACTGAATGGAACTGTAAAACAAAGTACTGTTGAAATAATTTTAGCTTGGCACAAATCTGTGAAGACCTTGATTAAGTTTTAATCCCAGCCCATTATTGAAATTTGTAATGTTCCTTTCTTTGAAGCAAGTTTCAAAGCAAGACGCTAATCAAACTTCCAATAATGAAATGAATCTTTGAACCTTGATAGGAATGCATGAGCTGCTTTGAGTGTAATAATTAAAATATGAACTGAAAGAAAGCACAACCAATTGCTTGTATAAAAACCCATATTTCAAAATATGTTCATTCATTTGGTCTCTGACTAATCAGTAGGTGCTGAAACCTTAGACTTTTTGGTATCATACAGMAGTAAAGACCCCATTAGGTAAACATTATCTATATTTCATCCTGATATTTGAATAACACTAAACTTGTTTTTTGGCTCCATTATTGAAAGAAAAAAATTAATGAAAGCTTGAAAAATTAATTTATGATTGCTCATTAGCTGAAACCAACCATTTCAAATTCAGATTTCATTTCAGACAGGCTTTGTTTTGCCTAAATGGTTGTAGTGCCTGCCATTCATATCTCAATTGTTTTTATAGGAAATGATAATATTTAATAAAAAAAACTTGTTGGTGGAATATTTGCTTTTTTCTTATTTTGTCTAACTTTTCTGACATATGATATATAAACTTTTTGAAAAGCTCACTCCTTTTGTGCTATAGTACTACTGTGCCTCAGTCCTACGGCGTTTAAGTGCTACAGCGTTTAAGTGCTACAGCATTTAAGTGCTACAGTGCTACATGCTACAGTGCTATAGAGCTACTGTACAGTGCTAAAGTACTATAGTACAGTTTTACAGTACTACAGTCATGTAATTCTACAGTGCTTCAATCCTACGGTAGTACGATATTACAGTACTACAGTGCTATACCATGCTTCAATGCTAAATTAAATAAATAAGTAAATATTGTAAATAAGTAAATACTAATAATAAAAAAATAAAAAAATAAGTAATTATTGTGCTACTTTGTTTCTATGCTAAGCTGGCAATTCCAATGCAGACATGACGCTACTTTATTTTTTCGGGTTATATACAAGGGCGGATCCAGGGGGGGGGGGGGCAGAAAAAAACGATGCTTTTTTATATTGTTTGTTGTGTTGACGGATGAAACTCAATTAGCCCCCCTAAACTCAATTAGCCCCCCCCCCTAAAATTTTGGCTGCATCAGCCCTTGATATACCTGCCATGAAATATTGGCCAGCAATAACTGGTGTGCTGATGTACAGTACATCTACCAAAAGCATACTCAAGTGTTATTTATCAATTGCTTTGCTCAGAGGCTGATGCAGTAAATCAAAAAGCCACTGTAGAACAATAGTATTTTGCTGAGGTTCACTTCAATTGATAACTCCTTTTTAAGTAGTGAAAACTAGGGTAAAGCCGATTTTGCTATAATTTTCATTTGATAGAGGTTAATTGTGGTATTGAGAATTTATTTTTGAGTTCGTTTATCACAGTTTAATAGTCCAAAAAGAATGAACAAATCTATTGTAAGTAATTTAAGCTTACTTTACAAACTACCATCGTCAATTTTACGCTCAGTTTAATACGGTACATTTTTCCTAACGACGTTTATTTTCGAATAGCCCGAACCTACAAGTACGAAATACTACCATATGTGGCACAAAGCTTTCATTTATAGTTCATGGTACCTTTATTCCAGCTTCGAAGATCAAGATATCAGCTCCTCGTGCATTCAAAGTGTCCATAAGCTTGGTTTTCTTGAGTGCTTATACAGGTTTAATGTCCACTTAACGATCTGAACTGCGAAAACCTTTTTCAAACTCCTCACTATTTGAATTTCCATTTCCTCTAGCAGTTGAAATGYTTGTTTTCTTAGGCTTTTTTGCTAATATTTACGAGCCATTCTCCTTTCTTGTTTACAAATGGATGAATCAGTTGCATGTCCGGCTTGTAGAGTGCCGTCATTGCCTGTCAAAATTGGACCAATCAAATAGCTCTATGTCGCGTTATAAGCCAATCACAGCGCGCTCTTTTTGTAAACATAGCGAAATCGATCAGACTATAGCTAGCTATGTTCTGTTCGTTCTCTGATCAATCACTCCTGAAGCTGTAGAACACTTAACGGCTCGTTATTTCTGTATCTCTTTTCGTCTCCTACAGGTCCAGTCGTGTTTTATCAGARAACTGAACATATCTAAACCTGATCTAATTGTTAATTCTTCGTTTGTTTCTACCGASAAAATACATTTCAATGACGTCCTAAACACCTTAGCTTACTGTATGCTTGAATTACCAACTTGAAATACTTACACAACTCACGATAATTTCTTGACATGGCATTTTAGACGTACTTCGTGAACGAAAAAAATCCTTTTTTGAATGTAAACAAACCCTTCACCGAGGAGGCCATTTTGAATAYATTAAAACCGCTTGTACCAAAATTCGAAGGCTCTTGTTTTATCATTTGGCGCGCAAAACGTGGAAGACGTTGAACAGATAGACCTTCAAAGTAGGAAAACATCATATAATTTGTCTTTAGCAGTCCTTCAATTCATTCTCGTTTTGATAAAGTATTCCATTACGCGTTAAGAGAACTGTTTTTTAAGACTAGAGACTAAAGTTATCGTCGGATTGGAGCGTAATTTTTGCTCGTGTTTCTTGTCGTTTGACCTTCGTTCCCAAAAACCAGCAAGGAAAAGCTTTTGATGAGTTTAACAGGACGACTTCTCCAACAGTTGCAACCACATTTTGGCGTTAACAACTCTTCAGTTCTTTAGCAACCCTCCCGACTAGTTTTGGTGCTCTTTTCCTTGAATATCATGCTTGTACGCCATGATCGTCGTCTGCAGTAATACTTCATGTCGTRGTCTTCTTGGCCGCCGTCTTGTTGGGCGAATAAAGATGGTAAGTCCTTTATATGTATGATTCCTGCTTCATTGAGTCTCTTTTCTAATGGCTGCGTCATCGAGTGCCATTGATTTATGTTCTACCCAAAAATCATATCTTCAGTATTTTGAAATCCTTCTTGTCAAACTTCACAGTTATTTTAAAACAGTAATGATAAAAAGGTAAATTAGACTGGTGGGCCGAACCCCATATCGTAAAGGTACGGGCATTTCTGTCTGATTTATGGCAACATACTTATTCTTGTT